TCTACACTACGCAGTTAGAGTAATAAATTTTCATAAAATAATTATGATAATAGATTTCTAAACGTAAGTTTTTTTATTCATTGAAATAAAATGTATTTCCAAAATGTTAAATATTTTACAGACATGAAATAGAAAACACTTAAGTTGCCACTAATACAATAGAATTACCACAGCATTGTGTTTATTTAAATAGGTTTTAGTAAAATACGTGAAAGTTACCTCATTACAAGCGGATCTCGGAAATGACATATTTTCCTGTCGTTTCAGTAATAATGTAGTATAAGGTACATAAAAAGGCTTCTTGCAATATGTCACGAAAATTTCCCAGAATATGATGTTATATATTAATTAACAGGTTATGAGGGATTTCCTTTCCTAGGAACCTTCCACTCACAATAACAAACACATAAAAAGACTAGCGAAATCATTCCGTTTGTTCACGCTTGATCAAAGAAATAGAATTAATTTTAATATAATATCTGGTCTGCTAATAATCTCTCTAGGTATACTTATAATTATTTAATGTGATCGAATAATTATAGTTGTAGAGTCTGATATTTTCCGGTGTCTAGCGGTGGTTGACAACATAAGAACTGTAATATTATAAATATTCTCGTCTCCGGAACAACGATGCTATCGCTGCAATGATCGCTTTATGAAATTGAAAATATTTAATAGTCGTGACACGGCGATTGTCAGCATCGAGAATCGCCATCATTGTAAAGCGACACGCCCCCAGCGAATAGACTGAATTTGTTGAATCTGCCTTGACCTTGGTGTGTCATTTAGATGGAAGTGCGCACAAGTTGCTTCTTAACTAATATGTACTTTATTATCGTCATGAAATTCCAAGTATATTTCTTATTAGAGCTTCGTGACGACTAATATATACACAGTACTGTTGTATGGACGATTCTGAATACATTTGTAATAGCATCGTGCCAATATTGTTGACACATGCTACATTTATTACAAATATATTCACATGGTCACCTGCAGATAATGTGATGATTTATATTCTGTATCAACATGAATTACAAGTAGCTACTCGCGAAATGAGTATTCGTAGTAGCGACGCCCAGAAGCCGCCCAATAATGAGGTTCTATATTATTATGTAAGCGGTGTGAAAAGTAGGTGTGTTTACAACTTTGAAAAGTAACTTGTAACCATCGCAGATCGCATATGCTGAAGAGTTTACATCGTGACCACGACTTATTGTTGTGTTTATTTTTTGTTTATACATTTGTTAAGGGGTTTGGACTATTTCTAGGTTTTTAAAACTCGTTGCATCAAGTCCTCAGAATTCATCACTTAGACCCGAAAGATTTCAGACTTAAAGAACACAGATAAATTGCCAAAAATAGTCCAATACGTAAAAAATAAGACAGAAAATAACTTTTATTCGTTATGCTTTAACTATTATCATATTAAATAACATTAAGACAGTTCTATGATAATTGGTGCATTGTCACTTTGCATTCATATACCCTTAGCGATATGTTGTGTTCACCGGAATTTCGATAATTCAAAGTTGACAATGCGTCATATTAGAGCGATAGTCATGAGAATGTATATTCCTTTTATAGTCCGTAATTTTGTATTGTTTCAATTCCAATTACTTATGGTATATACGTCATCAACTTACTTCGACCCCTTTGCACCTGTTTTATTCATGGCTTGCAGACGTAACTACAGACTAAGTCTTAATATTTAAATTTTCCAATAATGCACTTATTATTGGAAAATTTAAATATTATCCCCTTAAGGGATTTCCGTCTCTTTTATGCAGTTCCCGCCGGCAACAGAAATTAGTCAGTCAGACAATATGGACAGTAAAAGTAAAATAAATTATGAATGTGCATGTAAATAGCAATGTGACACAGTGGAGGGATACCTATTATGACGGTGATGGTGGTCTAGCGGTTTAGCAGACCGCTTCATTTTCGATGGTCGCGGTTTCGATTCCTCGCACGTAGCAAAATTTGTATCTATGAGTATGATTGCTTGTATTGGTCTAGGTATTCTCTATGTATATTATGTATATATTTACAAAAAAATACATCTAAGTATTTATGTTAGTTGCCTAGTTCTCATAACACAAGCTCCGCTTACCATGGGACTAGATGGCGCTGTGTGAATTGTCCAGGGGTATTTATTATTATTATTATCAGTATTTTATACATCTCTCTTTTTACGGGCTAATACGTTCAAAATAACGGACCTTGCCCAAGCGCAAATGACTTTAAAACTTATATGAGGATGATAAAAGTGATGACGAAAGAAATTTTCATTCTATATGGGCATGTGTTAAGAATGACGCCTTTTTATAATAGTTGTATTGTAATTATAGAGGATGAAATTTACAACGTGTCTAGGTAGGTATTATTATTATAATTATGTATCATGCAACTACGAAATTACTATTCTCAATTATATACAAAATGTAGTTGCTGCAAATTCAAAACTTATCTACCTGAACTTTAAAGTTGGAGTACTATTTAATAATATTCACTACTACATAGGACTAAAGTTGGGGTGAGTTTTGCACATTATACATCAACGTCTGACTCATAACAAAACAGGGGTGCACCTGCAAACTCACAGTGCAACCCCCTTTTGTTGTTGTAGATTCCTTTCATAGATAGTTGCATGTGACATTGCAATTGCTTGTTACGACCATACTGCGAAAATAAATTAAACTTTGATATACATTAATTTAGGACACATCCATGATTTAATATAAACTTGTAACAACATCCATTTCCAAATATACGTCTTAGTTAAATAAAACTATTCGGATTTTAAGTATCAAATCCCTGAATCCAATTCAGATATTAATACAAAAATTGCAGACAAAACTAAAAATTTATCGCATATTATCTAGATAATTATATAAGCAAAAATTATATGTAATTTCGGAGTTCAATTATCATCGCTACAAGTTGGCTGTTTATAAAGTCGTTATGTTACCTTTTGTTACTTAAATAATGTTCCTTTACCGGTATTTTCATCACTTAAAACAATATCAATATATGTCAACAAACAACAATGTCGCTTTAGTGGTTCCTAAGATAACGTTATAAGAATATCTACTCTGTTTATAGGTAATATCTGTACAGTATCGCATCACATCGTCTGAATTCCGTCTTTGACATTTATCAGTATCCATAGATGGATTAATTTCATGAAAAATTTGTGTTTATTGAATTTTACGAATAAAGTCAAACAATAAATAATTCCGCAGTAATGCTCTAAGTTGTCACTTAATAATTTGACCGTATGACTAAAAAGTGTTTTATATTATTTCATTAGATCGCATACGAACATGAATATATAAGGAATTTGATCATGATTAAATGAAAAAGTATCATATCAACAGCCAAATGAAATGATGAGTATTGTATACGTATATTACATATAAGAGAAAAGTAAATTGAGTTTTCTTATTACGTATAGACGAAGCATTTGTTCGATTAATATAATAATAAGAATAAAAGAAAATACTTGACCAGGTTTAACTATACTTACTCCTTTAGAAATCAACATTATTAACAAAACCGCTGGTTATGCGGCGCCGCGCGATCCAGCAAGTCAACAATATCACGGGGGAATTAACGTTCATTCTACCGGAGATTCGCGATTCGGGCAGCACATTTGTACACGGCTGTTTGTTATTTATAGCACCCTAAAATAGCAGCACTGGTCACGTGGTATAAACACGCGGACCAAGCCCCTGTACGCGATTGGGCCAATAACGTCACAGTGGCATCATCATGCCCAGGGCCGGATCAAGTATGTCGGGGCTCCTATGACACAAATCTTACGGGGTGCGAAATTTCCTGTGGGCTCATTGATTACTAAAACTTGCTGCGAAGTTATCTGTTTAGAAAAGAAAGGTTGCTGTTTCAAAATCACTAATCTTTTCGAGTGTATGAAGGGATAGGATTTTTATATAATGGATGATAATGAATGGTACCCCACCTACGCTTTCGGTATACGCTGGCGGGGCACAAGTGGAGGATAAGGTGTGCAGTTAGCACATAATGGTATATTCTCCAGGAATTTAACATGATAGTGTTTGGAGGAATTGCGAGGAGGTCAACCTATGATACATTGCTAGCAATGGGGTCAAGAGTCCACATCACTAACAATCCCCTTCTCCCAGAAGGGATGGATTAATAGTCAAAAGTTTTGATTATCACAAAATACGCTATGCAACTAATTCATATTATTAGTTCTACTGGTCGTTAATAGATGGTACTGTATGTTTAGCATATTACATCAACTAACTGCATGTGTTAAATATAACACAAAAGTATCTATTGTAATTGAGGGCACTATTAAAATAGTCGCTCCATGACAGATTAACATTATGCACACGGGCCCCTAGTCGAACCGGCCTATAAGCAGATGCCTAATCCGGCCCTGGTCGTGCTACAAAAATATTATTTATAGCTAACAACGCTTCAAATATGTCGTTGTTCACAAACCAAGAAGAATATTTGAAGACGTCAAATGAAAATTACTTTCACATAAATCTTTTCTTCGAAACCCACTAAGTATTTATGAATAGATTGCTGAAGTGTTCTTATGAAGCATATTTAACATGCAGATATAGCTCGTTTTCGATTTTAATGTCGTCGCATAGGATGCCCCATACTCTGAGTTGGTTTTCAATCGGATCATTTTTTACCAATGAATTTCTTAATTGGGGTCTGCCTTCCTGTAGGTAAATGTTAAAAATCTTTTCGGCTGCTAAATAATTAAAAAAAAAAAACATTTAATAACAATTACAATATGACTACTATTTTTCATGACCATGCTAATATATTTATTAGTTTATGTGCCTACTCTAGTGTTATAAAATTTAAGTAGATACTTATAAATGAAATGTAAATTAATAGGGAAAGAAATTTAATTAACAAACATCTGTTTATTAAAAAGTTGTAAATTAACAGTGACTCGACTTTAACACTAATATTAATTCTCTTTGTTTCAGAAACCCCAAATGCGGCCGATGATAGCCGAATATGATCCCAAGAAAAAAGGAGTCAGAAATGACTTATCAGATGTCGTTATGGTCAAGTAAGTGAATCTGTTTCATGCAATTGTTCGAGAATTCATTTAATAACAGAAGGATCATCGACCAGCTTGGATTGCCTCTGTGTTGTCAATAATTTACTTCAAATAATCAGTAATCGATAATGCCACATCTGATTTAATTTTGATTTACTGCATAGTACCTATTTAGAGATGAAATCAACATAAAAAGCATGCTTCACAGCTTGTAACATCATTTTTTTGTTCAACATTCACTTTGATTGTGAAATATCGATTAAGTCGTTAAACTAATAATATTGACATTTTTGTTCAACAGGAAATTGAAAAGAAAAAAACATAAATAGTTTTCTTTTATAAAAGCTAAAGCTAACATCGTATCGTTAAAATTTAGAGATTATTGCGCTCTTAGGAGTGCGGCGAGGGCCTCTGCCTGAGCTTTGAAACATAATCAATATTTATTGAAAAATGTTTTGACGTGGTATTTTATATTGTATGTTGACTGTTAAGTACTTGCTCCTTTAACGAGCTAATAAAGCTCGACGCCGTTCGGAGACGATCCGGGAAGACGTGTGCTGCTTCCACGAGATTAAAGTCGTTCGACGACCTTGATCATCTTGCAATGGACTCATACACCGGTACATCATTCCATTTTATGGTTTCAATTTTTTATAATTTGTTTTATTTGGTTTTGGTAAAAAACTAAAAAAATGTGTAGTAGGAGTGCCGGCTGCCGCGCGCCCTTTTGTTGCCACGCTACACCGGAGCTCCATGGCAGCTGGTACTCATGCGCCATCTCTGTTCAGGCTTGGGATTGGCTCTCAAACTTTCCATTTGTACAAATTTGATTTAGCTTTATGTAAAATATACATTCCAATTTTATACAAAAAATGTATAACAGAAGTTTAGGCTATAAGAATCCTTTAAAGTAATTTATTAACAATTGCAAAAAAAAACAAACTGTTAAATTGTTAGTGAGGAAATATAAAAAACCGCTAACAACGTAAAGCTGTATTAAATTTACAGTTGAGCCATATTATTTGTAAATGCCAAGTCTTAATAGAGTGAAGTGCATGCAAAAAGACTTTAATTCTGTATATTATTTTCGAGACCATAATGAAATGTATCACACTATACACAACGACACTTACACAGAGTAATGCAGCTAACATTAAACGATTTATACATTATAGTCAATCGCGAGTAATTAATAGTAGCCACAATTTTTCTCGTATAGATGTTTCCTTTCATCAATGAGATCACGCGACGCGATCACACATCGTTTCACACATCGATCACATACGCTTGAAATGTGGCGCTTTATATGTTATCGCTACTACTACATAGTTATGCTTAAATTCAGATTGTGAATGAAACTACACTCTTTTACCCACTCACTTCTAACCTGTCTACATCATTTATTAAGGTATTTAATCCAATAGCCATATCATTAGCTATAACAATGTTTGGGGAATATTTCACAGGTACAAAGTTGACCCAAATGAGATCCCAGTGGAACAACAGGCTGGATCTACTCTCCCACTTATGGAGATACCAGGCCGTGATATTGAGGCTGATGAGGATTATAATCCATTCGACCACAGAAAACTCGCACATCCCACATCGTAAGTAATTTCTTTATTTTAAACTAAGTATAATCAAATTATATATTATACGGATTGATTTACAGGTCTTATTTTAGTCCAAAAGTAAAATGTCGTCTTTCAAATTATTATCAATCGTTAGTGCTATTTCCGAGATATCTCTAATTTGTATATTATCGGAATGAGCCATTTCATATTACTAGGTACCAGAAACACTCGAGTTTTACGAAGTTATTCAAGGATACTTGGCCTCATTTAGAAATAATTAAATACAATATTGGCCAATATTTGTCAACTTGACGATACACAGCATTAATTACTAGAGTACTAAACACCTTTGATAGGCTGTGTTAGAGTCTTTCAGATTTATATTATGTATATATACATTACTTACGGGAAAAATTTCTGTATTATATAATTTGTTTTCAGGGACATGGACACACTTGTCCATTTGTTGAAGGGATCTCTGGGCAGCGGTATTTTGGCAATGCCTGTAGCATTTCGTAGTGCTGGTTTATTCTTTGGTCTGGTGGCCACATTCGCTATAGGTGGCATATGCACGTATTGTGTGCATATCCTGGTAAAGACTGCTCATGAACTATGCAGAAGAATGCAAAAACCATCTCTTGGCTTTGCAGAGACGGCAGAAGCTGCGTTTCTTTCTGGACCTCCGGCTGTGCACAAATTTTCCCGGCTAGCTAGGTAACAAAAGGCCTATTTTATTATAGGCAATTCATTTAAACATTATATTCTCTAATAAATTAACTGGTATAACATTTTTGTCTCCTTTACTGTAAAGGATTCGATACTACTATTGTAATTTTGCAATTGTATTTTTCCAAGATAAAAAACAACACCTTGTATTCTTAGTAATACGAATGGGTATACATATGATGGTAGGTAATATGAATGTTTGTATGTTATTTTGTACTATTTTGTTATAAAATAGCTTACTAACATTTACATTACTAACCACTTTTCTGTAGATACATTGCCGTATAAATCTGACTTGAATATCTAAAGTAAAAAATCTGGTACTATGTAAGTCCTTTGATTAAAAGTTCTTAGGTGACCAAATGCATAACGAGTTCAAAAGTTTAATTATGAGATTGGAGATTTATTTCTTTTAACATTTTTACAACTATGACTCATAAACCTAATATAAAAAATGAAATATCCAATATCTACTAAAAATTTACATTTTATAATACAATTGTCTATATATATTTCAGGGCTATGGTCAACTGGTTCCTGGTGGTCGATTTGCTTGGTTGCTGCTGCGTATATATCGTATTCGTCTCTAAAAACGTCAAGCAAGTGGTTGACTTCTATACAATAGGTTCCGATTATCATGATATACCTCTCCGAGTTTACATGGCAGCACTATTACCTTTACTTATTTTGATGAACCTTCTAAGAAACTTGAAATATTTGGCACCATTCTCTATGATCGCTAACCTTCTTGTCGGCACCGGAATGGGAATTACTTTTTACTATTTATTCCAAGACATTCCAAGCATACATGAAAGGTACCCCTTCACTGGTTTTGAGAAACTACCAACTTTCTTTGGTACTGCTATTTTCGCTTTAGAAGGAATTGGTGTGGTCATGCCTCTTGAAAACAACATGAAGACCCCGACACATTTCATCGGATGTCCTGGTGTCCTCAATACCGGCATGTTCTTTGTGGTTTCCCTGTACGCGTTTGTTGGATTCTTTGGATATTTGAAATATGGAGAAAACACTGAAAGCAGCATCACGCTAAATCTTCCACAAGACGAAATGTAAGTCTATAGCCAAAACGAGTTTTTCCTTAATTTTAAGTATTACAGTAACAAGGAATTTCGTTGCTGGATATTGTGAGAATCTGCAGATTTATAGACTACATACTAAGAATAGCAAACCGAGTGACGAACTATAACCAAATATTATATTTGTTGTCCGCATACTTAGAGGAAAAATATGGATATTTACCTCAGTTGCAGTATAATCTACACTATCTCGCTCTTCATACTAATACCAACTATGCATACACTGCATACTAGATTGTAGAAGTATAATAGATAAGTAAGTGATACGCATAACTCAAACACACAAAACTCAAAAGAACGGGGGCATACTACACATATTGTAAATGATTATCAAATGGTAGGCCATTAATAAGCCTAGTAGTAGGCCTGGCGAATAAGAATATAGACTAGATGGACTATCAAATTATAACTATTGAATTTAATTTAAATCGGGTCAGTAGTTTTTACATGAAAGTACGACAGACAAACAAACAGAAGGAGTTACTTTCGCATTAGGCAATATATGATATATGACATTAGAAAGGATTTGTTGGACTATATTTTTATAAGTAAATACCTAAATAATAAAGTACCTGTTTCCTAGTAAAACGATACCTTACTTACTTACGAATTTAATTTCTTTTCAAAATAACTATCCGAACTCACCTCTCAATTGTTAACAACCATTAATAAAACTCTTTTATTTTCAGATTGGGTCAGTCTGTGAAGTTGATGATTGCTGTGGCTATATTCTTCACCTACAGCTTACAGTTTTACGTGCCAATGGAGATCATCTGGAAAAACGTTCGTCACAGGTTCGGGGCAAAGAAGAATTTTGCTGAATACAGTATTAGGATTGCATTAATTGTGATGACGCTTTGCATTGCCATTGCTATTCCGAACTTAGGTCCTTTTATCTCCTTGGTTGGTGCCGTCTGTCTCTCTTTCCTTGGCCTCATATTTCCCTCAATTATCGAAACTGTCACATTTTGGGATCGACCAAATGGTCTAGGCCGTTTTAACTGGGTGCTCTGGAAAAATATATTCCTTGTATGTTTTGGAATTCTTGGTTTCATAACAGGCGCCTATGTCAGTATTTTGGATATTATACATGGTGCCGATTAATAAGTATTTCGCAAAACTAATTCATAAGTATACGGCGGAATGCAGTAGAGAAAAACATAAGATATAATGGCTAAGATTTTATAATTAATTCTCTTTTAGTTTTATACATTTTAAATAAATGAAATCTGATGTTAAATTTATATAATTTGAGTTTCCATAATCCTCACTAATGAGATTAATATTACCTATAATAAGGTTTTATTTCAAAACGGTATATTTTGTGTATAGTCAATTTAATTTCTCATTTTTATTATTTACCCCGAAACTCTGTAGCCATTTAGAAATAAGGAATCTAATTATTAAAATGTGTGAGAATTTTTCTAGTGCATTATTTAAATGTGATACAATTTAGGTTAATAAAAAGGCATTGAAACTGTTATTTATAAGAAAAAGTAGATTTCAAAAAAAAGTTTGTTTTAAAATAAGGCAATATTATAATGTGTAAGTTTTAGCATGTCATTGGACCACGTTTAGGCTTGTTTTGCTTTTTAAATGATTTGTGTTACAATTTTGGGGTTTAATAAGTAGAAGCACCGTGATATGACATAAGCATTTTCATTACCAAAAAAAATTTACTTAGTATAGATTTTCATATCGAGCTTGTTTTGAAAAAAAATGTTATATAAAGCATTTAAACTTGTAGGTTATACCAAACTGTGAATAGACTCACATATGATCTTTTCTGAAGATCATTATAAATATATTGCGAATAATTAGAGAAAAATTTTGTATTCAAAAATGTTAAATAGTTACTATTAATTATAGTGATCGTAAAACAAAATTACTTGAGCTGGCTTGATTTGAATTTATTTTTTTATTGCTTCTTTGTCGTGAATCGAGGTCCAACGAACTCTAATTATCAAATCAAGCTCAGCTGTACGTTAAATTGAGTTACAAGACTGGTTTTGTCTTTGGTGAAAAATTATTAATTTGTCACAAAACATCTTCTGCCGTAGGTACATTGTAATAAAGAAACAATTCTCTCGTAGTTTAAATATCACGTAATGTTCCTTTCATGAGAGTCAGGTTCTGATATTTATTGTAAAGCATCAGTTTGAATGAATGTGATGAGAAAATTGTTTAGATATTTTAATTACGTAAGATATAAGCCATCATGAATCATTTATTATATTAGAATGATAGAAATCGAATGCAGGCCCTTTTGCCTGGTTCCGTTATTATCATTCTTTAGTGTTAGGTAAGTTTTTGGACAAAATTAATTCAATGTTCGGCCCTAAGACGGCATTGAGCATTGTATTGTGTTTTCATCAAATATATATAATTATAAATGTTATAGCTACATATATTGAAAAGCATGTAGTGTTTAAATAATGATTTATACATAATTTAATAAAACGTATAAAATAAGCTATTTGTTTGACATGAGAAAGTGTCCTTACCAAAATACATGTCACAAAATATATGTGTGACATGTATGTTAGTGGGAAGGGGGGTTAACCTGGGAGATATGCTATCTTTATTTGTCCGACCTCGTAGAAACACGGTGACATTTTGTTGGTTTTATATATAACTAAAAATATCTATATTTTTTTAAATAAATCAATTGACTAAACGATGAATTGTTTATTAGAATATTATTGGATCTGTCTACAACATTGGAAACATAATGTATTTTAATATAATAATCCTTTCTAAATAATGTGGTATATACTTATTTTTCGGAATTATTAAAGAGTTTCAAACAAAGGCACGCACTGTGTGCGCTTATGAACTTCGTTAAAATTTCGTACAGAGGGGAAGCATTCCTACATTGTTATACATTGTAATGGTAGGTATTATGTACCGACCTACTTATTTTAGATAGTGATGGTTGTTTTGTTACAGTATTAAATAGTTTGGAACTAAGGAGATATGTGTTTTATTTCACTCCCACTATCCTATTTCCAAACTCCGTTACCCGTATTTATTATGAATAAACTTAGAGACAGACTGCTGGTAAGTGGCCATAATAATAATAATGGAAAAAACCAGCAAAAGCTGTGAAAAGAAAGCATACCAGTAATAATGACTCTGGACACGCAGCGTAATATAGTCCCAAGCTAAGTAAAGCTTGTGTTATGGATACCAAATAACTGATGTAGATACATGACCGTATCAATACATACATAATATACACAGAAAATACTCTTGACCAAAACAAATAATCATACTTATGAATACAAATTTTTGTATCGTACATGGCATCGAACCCGTGACTATCAAAACTAAGGCGGTGTACTAAACCACTAGAATAGAATAGAATAGATTAGAAAATCATTTATTCAAATAAACTTAATTTAAGCACTTTTGAATAGTCAACATTTTTTTTTAATCTACTAAGCAGTAGATTATAAATCTTCGGAAATTTGTCTCATCATAAGAAAAATAAGCAAGAAACTTGTGTGTTGCTCTCTTAAACAATCCTTGTAAGTTCACATTTTACAAGTCGAAATGTGTGAATACAAACTACCAACCAACACTAATTAATTTAGGCTCAAATATAAAAACACAATAAGATTAAATCAGTCGTAGTGATAAGAGCAGATCAGTCCCTACAAGCAGCACTCGTTCACGAGTATGACGGATGGATGGATGACGGAGCCATCACTGCGCTCGACCATATTTTAGGGAGTCCAATGACCCGGCTCACCACGCCGCCACATGTCTGGACATTTTAGTGAGCATGACTACTCATTCCACTCGACCTCGTCATAGCTGCTTATTTAAATTATACATATATTATATGGTAGTTACAGTATTTGCACTTTACATAAGGATGCATGCGGCAATCACTACAAAAGCCGCTACGCTATCATATTTCAAGAAAGCAGTATGAAAAAGAAATTATAACGTTGTACGCTAAAAAATTGATTCTTACTAGATATTGCCATCATCTATGAATTCATCTATCCTATAATAGGCTTTTTTATATAGCATTTGTTTAATATAAATTTTGAATTGCCTCTCTGTCCACTAGACCACCATGACCGTCATTGAATATTTACAATACCAAGGATGCATTGTTACGTTAGCACATGATATGTTAAATCATAGTACTTATCAATCAACTTTTTAGCTCATAGCACCTTTCAAACTGAAACATAACATAGAATCTACTAGATGAAAAATCAAAGATTTATTCTGAGTGCAGACCCATTAGAATAGAAAAATCCTTTATTGAAATAAATTGAATTTACGCACCTATTAACAAAGAGCAGACTACTAGATAGTTTTTCATGTAAGTAAATACTTAAGCACTAAGTTATAATTAGAAAAGAGATCAATACAGAGATAATAAACTTTTTTAATCAGATCGGTAGGCGATTATATTATTTTCATAAATACATACATATTATACATAGAAAACACCCAAATCGATACAAACAATCATACTCATGAATACAAATGTTTGTGCCATGCAAGGAATCGAACCCGCGACCATTGGAAGTAAGGTGGCGTGCTAAGCCACTAGACCACCGAAGCCATCATAGACATAGTCAGGTAGATGTATATATTGTATTGTGTCTACGATAAAAGAATATGATAGAGCATGGTAGTAATCTAATTAAAAAAAAATTAAAGACAATTCACCAGCCCCATCTAGTTCCAAGTAGAGCAGATCTTGTGTTATGAGTACTAGACTACTGATACAAATACATAGATATTTATTTTATAAATGCATACATAAAATACATTGGAAACACTTAGACTGATACAAACAATCATACTCATTAATACAAATGTTTGTCACGTGCGAGGATCAAACCCGCGACCTTCTAAAGTATCTAAGGAAACCGCTAGACCACGGATGCAGTCAAAAAGATCTTAAAATTCATAGCAGTGGCTATATTATCCGATTGCACTAATCAATCTGTGTGTTAAAGGTTCCTATGTTGATTATCGTATGCCTCTTACATGTTGTTGTGTAATTCTTTATTTAAAAAAAATCTATTCTATATATTCAATAGAGCGACGCACAAGTTTCTTGTATATTCTTTTTGTGACCAGTCTACATTCCGAATGAGTGGTAAAATAAGAAAATATGAAATCAAAAGTGCTAATATTGAATTTATAAATATTATGGAAAAAGATTATTTCTGTTTTTATTAGGCTGGTACACGAAAAATAAATCATTCTCAATCCTAAGTATTGCTCCTTACTGGACTGGATTTTAATGGACACGCATGAAAAAAATAAAATAATCCGAGAGGATGTATGTGTTTCAGTATCCATACCAGACATATTGTTTTATTAAAAAAAATTAACGTTAAGTACAATGGGAAACAAATAATAAATATTAATACCTTATAATCTTAGGATAATTGATATAGCGCCATCTTCTTCCAAATTAAGCAAACTAAAGCTTGTGTTATGGTTACTAGATAACTGATACAAATACATAGATATATTTTTTTCGTAAATACATACATACATATTATACATAGAAAACACCAGGACCGATACAAACTATCATACTCCTGAATACATATATTTGTGCCGTGCGAGAAATCGAACCCGTGACTATCAGAAGAAAGGTGGTGTGCTAAATCGCTACCACCGAGGCGTCTAATATAACCAATCACCAAGCATAAAAAGAAATAAATACTTGTAATTAAAGTAATTTATATCCGGTTGAAAGGGAATCAAGAGGTACACTAGCGAAATCTCTACAATATTCTGAAAGATCTTGGCCTGCATAGAACTACAATGGGTTCTATACTAGAACATGTATCTAAAACTGCACTAGATAGCTGTACAAACTCCTACAAGATTTCGCTGAGCAGACAGAGAAACACAAGCGGCGAAGTTGAGTGTTGACGTACGTCGACAAAGTTTTAGATAAGATAAGGTATAAGCATATATTATCTGTGGTATAAGGAACCCAAACATACACCCAGGTCGAATTACATATTAAAAAAATTAAGAAAATACAGTTATTACGTGAAAATAAACAATTTAAGACTATGGTACTATTGGTGCTAAACCATGTTATTTAAAATGTTAGATACCTAATTAGACTAATATTTTACGTTAAAATAGACAGTGGAATATAGTAGAAATATAATACAATGAGTGGACAAAAATAGTAATATTTAATAAAAAGATTAGAAAGATAGACAGAATTAAAAAGCTTATTTATAAAGATGTAGGTAATCGTAAAGAAATGGCAAATAGTAAACGCAAATTGATTCATTTTTCACGAACAATCAATCATTTATTATTATCGTTACATTTGTAACCAGAGAGATGATTTTGATTTCAAAACTAACTGTACACAATGACAATGGTTATCACTGTAACGTGAAAACGGACGTTTTTGAATAATCATTTTTAAATTTATATGATCGCGAAATAATCTATAAAGCGCCATCTATTGTTGAGTAGTCTTTTTTTATAAAGTTACTGTACGGAGTCTTTTCGTCGTTACGACTAAAATTGAGAAAGGTTAAATTACACCTGAACATTGGGCTTGTCATCATATTTGGAATAAAAATGCTTATTTTAATTATGCGATAAGCTTATGTTACTGTTAAATACTCGCTAGTAGCAGATTAATCGATATCCAGTATAATTGTTGCAGTTTAGGGTATATCTAGGGTATATCCGCAATATGTAGGGCATGTGTTTATCCTCATATGTGTACCTAAATAATATTATTCCTTTGTCTGTGCTCTGTTTTATGCACATATGTGCACTACATACATTTATGACAAGCGTTACACAACCCGCGATATGATGCAATTTATGATCCATATTAGCTCTCATTTTCAGGTAATTTGATAAGCGTTTTCAATTTCAAATGTTGCGTAGTTACAATATATATATATACAGACATGTATTGTACACAAATATATTATTCTATCGTTATTGTTTGTCTTTTTTATTAGTTATTTGCAGTTATTCGCGACTTAGACTTTTTTCCAGATATTATTTTCGCCATCTACATACAATACATTCACATCAAATTTGATTAAGATCATTAATCTATAGTCCCTGAGCCAAGCCTAAATTTCGTCAATCAATTAGTCTCGAATAACACCTATAATGTTTAAGTGAGTTGTATTATAGCGCCAGTTGACGTTTTTAAGCATTGCTCGAGTTTTAGAGAAAATCGGTACATTACAATCTGATCCCGGCTCGCGGGCTATTAATCGTGAAAAGGTAACAAACAAACAGATAGACTTTCGCATTTGTAATGTTACTATAGATTATTATCTACACTTGTTTAATTAATCAAGTGTAGATTGTATGTAATCGAATCAGTATTCGATTTTATTGACTAAATCAGAATGTTTCACAGCTACCTACAATGTCACTTATTTTATTGAAAACATATCACATATTTATTATTAAAACAACTAAAACTCAGGTCAGCTTTATGCGTACATAGTACTATATATTATATAGTAAACTAGCTGTACACGCGACTTCGTCCGCGTGCAATTTAACTTTATATTCCTAAAAGAAAAGATGTTTTCTAAAATAAAAGCAGCTTAAGTTACTTCTTATTACATGCTGATGTAATCAGCTACCTGCCAAAAAAAGTCCCGTCAAAATCGGTCCACCCATTTCACAGATTAATCGGAACAAACAAACGTCGTATGTACCTTATTTATATGTATTTATATTCATGTAGTAAAAAAGGGTTATTTCAATATTACAAACAGACACTCCAATTTTATTTATATGTAATCTACTTACGTGCTAAATATATAACAAATATACGAGATATCAAAATATTTAATCAATTAATATAAAATATTAAATAACTGAGGGTAGGTATGTAGGTATTCGTTATGTACGTCAGAGTTCAGCGTAGCGCGTAGCTATTCGGGCTGATATACTGGCTTTGTATTGTACAGGATACAAATAACTATAGCAATAAGAATGGTACATAGAAGAATATCAGTTTATTATTTTGTGTGTCCATATTATTACAGCGCATATAGATGGAACTTCGGTAATGTTCTTTGTCTATGACATCAAATAAGGAGAAATGTCTGCTGCTCATTATAGTATATATTTATAGTATATATACCAGTATATTAGGAGCCGAATAATGACTAAAGTCATTATTTTCAATAACTTTGTTCTTTATGTGGATAGTGGGTACCGCCAAGCAGCTTGCTTTGGAAGCAGATTTGGTCGTAAGGTGAGATATGACCGTGAAATTAGATGAGAGCCGCATAACATCGTATGAAAATCAATTCATCATGTATTACGAGCTTTTCATGATATCTGAATGAATCCATGAACCTCACGTTCATGTATTCTACTACCAGGTGGACTGCCGCTTGTTGGCCATTCAAGTTACTGAAAAAAGTTCCCCACACTTGTCTTAGTAGGAGTCGTCAAAAGTATGCAAAAGATATTAATAAACCATTTTTTTCATCTCCTACCAGCAAACAGCCCTTGACTTAATAGAAAACTAGTAATAAAACTACGTACATAAATGTTAGGTACATGTTATTTCAAATAACTTTAAGCGAGCTATTCCCTGAATAAAATAAAAGTGGGTCGACCCGGGAATTCCGGTTCAGCTTGGGCGTTATTACAAACGTCGGTACCTAGAACTAACTTGAACCAGGATACAATAGATGCGGCGTAGTTAGGATGTTAATTAGAGTCGTGCCTGGATGGGCTCTGTATAGTTACATACTAAAATTATTTGGGTAACAGATTTTCAAAGAATTTGATCTTAGTTGTACAAATTTTATTTCCAGTTTTATATTGAAAGATGATGCCATAATGAAGTTATCAAATAAATATTTATCTGTCTGTGAGTACGAGATGCCTCAAGCAGAGAAGTTGAGTATCATTGGATACTATCTTTATACATAGCTTTTTTATAATCTGGATATATAAACCCACGCAACTGGTGTTCTATTGACAACGTATTGAGCGCTGCGAGCGAACTATGCTGTACCGTTCTATCTCATGCATTTAGCAGCGATGGATGGGCAGCCTGATTACATGATCGATTTGTTTGCAAGTTATCTAGACTTCACAGGTCAGGCCTGCGCCCTAGAACGGCATCCGGGTCGACCTGGGAGGGCGGAGCTAAGGGCATCGGTGAGAGATGCTACGATGTAAATTGTCGATATGTCGCCACAGAGGACGCCTTTGTATTATAATGTAAAATAGAGTCTGGGTTTTTAAAATTGCTTTTAGTAAACAGAATGGGAGTGACTTGAAGATAAATCACTTCTTAGATTGTTACAAATAGAAATAGTACAAAATAAAATGTATAGTATTCAGTTTAGTTAATAATAATTATAGTAATTAAGTTAATCTAATTATAATCTAATAAATATAATCTAATAAGTTAAACTAATTCGAAATCTAATAGTAAGAAAAATATAGTTGTTCAGTTCACGGTGTCTGTTGATTAACTGACAAATAAATAATTTAATTTTCTTGTAATTTAAATTCAGTGGTATAGTACTATAGCGCCCTCTATACTTGATATTTTATACAGGTTAAAATTAATCAACGACACATTCATCCATATTACATATATTCAAAAATTTAAACAATCTAAATACATTGTATAAAATTTTTAGTACTTATTTATGGAAACAGTTTGAACGAAAATATATGTCAATAATTATAATTATCATTATTAATTTAATAATTATCATATATAGGCTGGAAAATTATTTCTTCCGTTATTTACATGTATTCTGCAAGCAAATTAAGGCGAAATAATTAATTGTAATAAAAATAAACTTTCTGAAAAAATATAAATGGCACAAAGAAGACCTTTTAATTTTGATCTCTTGGCAACACTACAGTAGAGCCGTGCATGCGTTGACATTCTCAACGGGCAAAATAATTTCTTCACTTTGTTCGGCCATATTGCTGCCCTGCGTCCACTTGCGTGCGTTCAATCATTGGATTCATAAGGTAAGATTCATTAAAATCTTTCTTATTTTTAATTTGTGCTTCTTAAAATCCTCATTAATATCACTTCGAACTTTTATGTGCATCATATTCTCCACATCGGTTTCAAAATCGGTTTAAACCTATTGCCACCTTGACTCTGATTATGTGTGTATTTGAGCCCCGGAGCACGAGGGATATACTAATTGCATATTATTCTGATTCCTTGCCATATATATACAATTCAACCGTTGTAATTTTTCGAAAATTTAATATACACAATTTTTTATGCTTACCCTCATTTAATAACTGAGTATAATATCTATCTACTTATTAGAAACAATATTATTCACTGATTGCATATTATGTTCCCGTAAATGTCAGAACAATTATTATAGTTTGTCCATTACAAATTAAATGTATACTATATTATGTCTATTTGTTGATCTTCCTATTAATATTTATTATTTCAATAATAATGACTTGCTTAAGTAAGTGTTGGGTAGAAATGTAATTTTTATAAATGTTCAAAGAGTCAATATTTTCCGTACATATTTTGTATAAACGCATTTGTTTTGAGAATATGTTAATTTAGATAGGTTACAGATTTATTTCTAACAGGTATACTAACTACATATAATATTTTGTTTGATATGTTTGTATACAAAATAAAACTAATTTGAATAATAGAGGAGTGAATAAGTGATTTGATCTTGTGAAATGAGTTGATGTGAAAATAACAACAGGCACCATTTGTTAGTTTGAGTATGTGTATGTATGTTCAGTAGATGTGGAGTCTGTGTAGACCTCAGCGTAATCATCACAATCGGACTGTTTGTGTTAAAGTTTTTTGATGTTTTATTATTGACCTATTTGTATGTATAAGATAAGTTATGATAGTGGTTGAAATCAGTCTTGGTATGACGATAGTGACTGCCTTCCATCATTCAATTTGGATTGCTATTTTCAGAGTAGCAATATTTTAACATACAAATATTTTTTTCATGTTTTCAATTTTTAATTAGTATTATTATCAAATATCACTAATATTTCAACATTTACTTTAAAATTGCATCAAAAATTTACCACTGCTTTCACATTAATTTATATACTTTTAGATTTTTTGGACAACTATGTATAATATAATCTAATGTTAATGTTTATATTATTTATAAAACATGGAAATCCACAGTCAATATATATCATACAATTAATGGCATCCATGTAGATAATTTTAGCAAAATGCCACTTATGTTTGTTATTTTACATCATCATAGGTATTATGGAGCCCGAACAATCAGAATTAGTATCTAAAATAAATATTTCTGCATAGTTCATTTAAATTGTCAGTCGATCGATTATTTAATTTATTCAAATCAGCCCTCTCTATTAACTAATTTAAATCTCAATCGAGCTGTGTAGAAATATCACTTTTCATGAAAATCGGTACATGGGTTCCATTGAATATTCATATGTTATTAAAAAGGCCTAAACATATGTATAGTATAGCTAAACTTGCTGTATTTGAAATGCATAGTGGAACAATTATTTAATCTATTAAAATAAGTCTTTTTTATTAGCTAATTTCAATCTCAATCAAGGGCAAGTGGAAGCTGTGTAGAAATATCACTTTTCATCAAAATTGGTACATCTTTAAACACTAATATTTTATTAAAGAGAACTAAACATGTGTATAGATTGCATAATTAGTATCTAAAATACATATTTCTAATTAGTGTATTTGAAAAGGTCTGTCAATGAATTATTTAATCTACTTGTATCAGCCCTCTCTACTAGCTAATTACAATCTCAACTGATAGCAGGAGTATTCTGTGTAAAAATATAATTCTTTGTCAACATTGCTACCTTTGAAAATTCATATTTCATTCAGAAGAACTAAATGTGTGTATAATCAGGTATTCAGTATCTAAAATACATATTTCTACCTGGTGTATTTGAAACGGTCAGTCAATCAATTATTTCATCAATTAAAATCAGCCCTCTCTATTAGGTAATTTCAATCTCAATCGAGAGCAAGAGGAAGCTGTGTAGAAATATCACTTTTCATGAAAATCGGTACATGGGTTCCATTGAATATTCATATGTTATTGAAAAGGACTAAACATGTGTATAGTATAGCTAAACTTGCTGTATTTGAAATGCATAGTCGAACAATTATTTAATCTATTAAAATGAGTCTTTTTTATTAGCTAATTTCAGTCTCAATCAAGGGCAAGTGGAAGCTGTGTAGAAATATCACTTTTCATCAAAATTGGTACATCTTTAAACACTAATATTTTATTGAAGAGAACTAAACATGTGTATAGATTGCATAATTAGTATCTAAAATACATATTTCTAATTAGTGTACTTAGGTCTGTCAATGAATTATTTAATCTACTTGTATCAGCCCTCTCTACTAGCTAATTACAATCTCAACTGATAGCAGGAGTATTCTGTGTAAAAATATAATTCTTTGTCAACATTGCTACCTTTGAAAATTCATATTTCATTCAGAAGAACTAAATGTGTGCATAATCAGGTATTCAGTATCTAAAATACATATTTCTACCTGGTGTATTTGAAACGGTCAGTCAATCAATTATTTCATCAATTAAAATCAGCCCTCTCTATTAGCTAATTTCAATATCAATCGAGAGCAAGAGGAAGCTGTGTAGAAATATCACTTTTCATGAAAATCGGTACATGGGTTCCATTGAATATTCATATGTTATTGAAAAGGACTAAACATGTGTATAGTATAGCTAAACTTGCTGTATTTGAAATGCATAGTCGAACAATTATTTAATCTATTAAAATGAGTCTTGTTTATTAGCTAATTTCAATCTCAATCAAGGGCAAGTGGAAGCTGTGTAGAAATATCACTTTTCATCAAAATTGGTACATCTTTAAACACTAATATTTTATTGAAGAGAACTAAACATGTGTATAGATTGCATAATTAGTATCTAAAATACATATTTCTAATTAGTGTATTTGAAAAGGTCTGTCAATGAATTATTTAATCTACTTGTATCAGCCCTCTCTACTAGCTAATTACAATCTCAACTGATAGCAGGAGTATTCTGTGTAAAAATATAATTCTTTGTCAACATTGGTACCTTTGAAAATTCATATTTCATTCAGAAGAACTAAATGTGTGCATAATCAGGTATTCAGTATCTAAAATACTTATTTCTACCTGGTGTATTTGAAACGGTCAGTCGATCAATTATTTCATCAATTAAAATCAGCCCTCTCTATTAGCTAATTTCAATCTCAATCGAGAGCAAGAGGAAGCTGTGTAGAAATATCACTTTTCATCAAAATCGGTACATGGGTTCCATTGAATATTCATATTTTATTGAAAAGGACTAAACATGTGTATAATTCAGGTATTTAGTATTTAAAATACATTTTTGTACCTGCTGTATTTGAAATGGTCAGTTGATCAATTATTTTATCTATTAAAATCAGCCCACTGTATTATCTAATTTCAGTATTAATTGTGAGCAAGAGGAAGCAGTGTAGAAATATAAATTTTCATCAAAATTGGTACATCATGGGTTCCTTCGAACCTTGATATTTTACTGAAAAGAACTAAGTATATATACATGTATAGATCAGGTAATTAATATCTAAAATACATATTTTTATCCTAATGTATTTGAAATGGTCAGTCAATCGATTATTTAATCAATTAAAATTAGCAGAAGTGGTGTAAAAATATCACTTTTCATCAGCCTTAGTACATGGGTCCTTTGAACAATCATATTTTACTGAAAAGAACTAAGTATATCTATACATTTGGTAATTAGTATCTAAAATACATATTTATATTTACTGTATTTGAAATGGTCAGTTATCAAATATTTAATCTATTACAATTAGCAGAAGCGGTATAAAATATCACTTCATCAGCATTGGTACATGGGTTCCTTTCAGCATTCATATTTTATTGAAAAAAACTACACATATGTATAGATTGCGTAATTAGTATCTAAAATATATATTTGTATCTAGTGTATTTGAAATGGTCTGTCAATAAACTATTCAATCTATTAAAATCAGCTCTCTCAATCGATAGGAGAAGGAAGTAGTGTAGAAATATCACTTTTTGTCAACATTGGTACATGGGCTCCTTAGAACATTGATATTTTATTGAAAAGAACTAAGCATTTGTATCATGTAATATCATATAAATATAAACATGTTATTAACTTGTTGTATATATATTTCAGCTTTTACTTACAGTAATTATACTGAAACTGAGATATAAGAGATACAATTCTTTGATATTCAATAAATATAAATACAATCCATAAGTTGTTAGTTGGGTGGCAATGAATCCTTTGTTATAACAAAGAGATGACATAGTTCAATGACCTAATAAAATATTTCTCAATTTTTTACTTGTTGACTGCTACCTGTACTTTCTCGTCGTATTTGTATTATGTACTAACATTCAATAATGCCATTCTATTATTTAAATTCATGGAGCTGTACTTAATGCGTGATATTTAGTGTAAGTGCAGTGGACACCTTCATTTCTTAATCAGTTGATTAAAAAATCTGTTTGACACAATATATATATACTATATATAGTGGTAGGTGCATACAGTATATACAAAAAAACTGTATGTAATAATTACTGTATATAGGTATATACTGCTTGTTAGTGTTCATGTTGCCTCAATGCAAATAAAGTTCAGGTGGACTCCCATTGGCTCTATTGGTTGCTATGCCCCGCCCTCGGGAGATGAGGAGCTTAGCAACCAAATTCGCCTATCAGTGCACCGGAACGTCAGTTGCATTTTGGCAATCGAGGAAGACTAACTGCTTGTATACCAGCGGCTGCAATATCGGTTAATTAGGTAGGTCCTTTTGATATTACTTTTGTTTGTTAAAAATTTATTATATCGCTTAATATTTTTTAAAATCTCGTAATTTCTGGAGTTATAACAATAATATTTTGCTTATTAATATTTTTGTCTTTAGTCAGATATATATTTTATTATCCAAAA